CCTCCGCATCCCCGTCCGGGAAAAAGCCGGAGTAGACCTCGATAAATTTTTTCTTACTCAACTGTCCCGATGGACAGTCACGCTGTGCACACATAGTTGTGCATGTTTGTGTGTGTTTGTGCGCGTGCGTGTGTGTGTGCGTGTGTATTCGTGTTGATCGATCGTTGCGGGGGCGCAGGGGGGGGGGAAGAGGGTAGGGGATAAACGAGAACAAAACAACATTTTTGAAACATGATGTTTTACTCCTCTTGTAGATAGGTGCTCACGGATCTCGAAAACCCATCAATTTATAAGAAGCAAAATATTTTAATGTGATGGCGTTTGCACTGATATGCAATGTAAATTATTGAAAATGAAACAGATCACGTGATTTCTGTGGATGTGGATGTTTGCTTGAGAGATACCAAATAGCCACTAAAGTGCACGCGGATAGNCCAAATAGCCACTAAAGTGCACGCGGATAGTGCTAGACGGACAATGGGTCAGGTTTCAAATTCGAATTGCCACATTTTTCCGTATCTGTTCGAATTTACTGAAAATATGCTCTTGAGATGGGAATGCGACTGATTTAATATCCAAAAATGCAGTGTTGAGAAAATTTCACAACAATTTATTCGAGAACGAATCAGGATAGAACGAGTACTCTGCACATCACAGATGTCATTAAAGTGAAATACTCATTACATTTTCTATTCCCTTACTAATCACGTTTGTCGAATTACTCATGCCTACGCATTTGTGGTAACTCACAATTAAGTGTGACTAGCAGTGTGACCAAGACATATCAGTGATTTTGGCTGCACCACTAGGTCTAATTGGAGCTCATTACTGGTGCACATCGACCGGGTCACCCAGGTATCCTAACCTCTGGTTCTGAGTCCCTCACGGGAACGGTGTGTGTGTGTGTGTGTGCGATTGCTTGTGGTAATCCTAGCTTACGCGATAACACCAGCCACGGAGAGACGAGTTACAGTTTCTGGACGACTGTGGTGAGTCAACCTTCCCAGATGATCCCAACCAAGTGTCTATGCGATACAGCTTCTGGAAGACGAACCACAGACCAATCGTGCTGACCAATCAGAAATCGTGCGGTCTAGACAGATGCTGTATGACTTCAAGAATGCTAGTAGTAGGTAATTGGTGGATACGTGCATTACCAATAAACTTCTGTTGTACATGTTATTCAATCCCATCCATCTCGTTGAATCAACGAACTGCTAATTCTGTGGCCTTTTCCTTGCGTCTCAGTGACGGGAGATACCAGTGTATAAATGCTATGGCGATGCAGTGTTGCCGTTGCGTCCGTGATTCTTGAATGGTAATTCGGGATCTGAGGGGCCTAGTTCAACTAATACACTTTTGCGTTGCGCAATACCAGCAATACCAGCAACTACACCAACGTCATCACCAATAGGACTGACCAGAGTTGCTGGTCCAATTCGATTCAGACTCTGGCCTCAATAGACCTATAGGTCGTCTGCTTCTAAGAGACAGACAATTAGCTATATGATAACTCTAGTCAAAATCAGCCTCCGCTCGTCGAATCGAGGGTCTTTCAGAATTTTTCACAGAATTTCATCGGGAAACGTGTGTGTGTGTGTGGCTGTGGACGAATAAAACAACTTTGAACCAATTTGTTCTACTCTTTTGTCAATATATCCGTGGATTGCACTGCACCAATCTTGCCGCTCAGCGTCTCGCGTGAGGTGCGATCACTAAAAGCATGGAAGGAGTTGACTAATCCTCACACAGGAGTTAGTCGCTCAAAACAACTGCATACACTGTAAATGTTGAGTGAAACAAACCTTCCTAGTATGATAATTATGGCAATATGCTTCAGGTCAATTGTTCACTAGTGTTGAACAGTAGTCGATGGTGCCTCAGAAATTCCACCAACTAGCGCGGATCAGTAATCGAGCAGTAGACGATATTGGGAATCCTGTTAGTGTTCGTCAACTCAAACGCGTTTGATGTTCAATTCATCAGCTGGAGTCTTCTGAGTCAATAAATGGAAGAGCAAATTTGGAACGCACGATACATCACCAGGACAATACCACTGCACTTAGAAACCTCTAACTCCCCCTACCGTAAACTTGTCGGCAGCTCGAAATCCCGCAGGCCTCCTAGTGTGATCCGGTCAAGGCAACGTGTGGAGAGGTACACATTACTTAATTTTACTAATTTTGAATGCACCGGTTACGAGAAGAAGTTGATCAATCGGCTTGGACCAATTGCAGTGTGGACTCATAGGCAAAGAAAAGAATTGATCACAACAAATAAGCAAACTACCAGTGCATTTCAGCATCAGTGTCGTCGAAGTTTGTTTTGGATGAGTCAATGAGGATTGAATGTAGACCACCCCAGTTGATCGGACGGACTGATATGGTCAATGCACTTATGGTTAGACCATTCTGATTGCGTACCCAGTCATAAAGAAGCACCAAAGGAGTAAACCATTAATTCTCCATGACTTTCTGTTCGGCTCCGGGAACTGGTGACCTAACGATTGCGGAGCATTTCAGGTGTGGTGCATGGATAGTAGTGAGTTAAGCTGATTTACAGCCCGGCTCTGTAGATTGTTGCATCACCGTAGGTTAAAATTAAGGTNTAGTAGTAGTAGTAGTAGTAGTAGTAGTAGTAGTAGTAGTAGTAGTAGTAGTAGTAGTAGTAGTAGTAGTAGTGTAAAAGGGTCAAACCAATCGATCCAGTCTGTGCCCAAGATTTGTGTGGTCTTGCAAACGTCTACCTGTTCCACACTGTTTCATCTCTCATTATTTATCGGTGAACGATTTCCAGTTCTTCTGTGGTCAACCACATTTCAGTACTCGGTGCATCGTTCGTAAACTGGCATTTAATGAAAGCTATAGTGAGTGACCTGATCATCTTGCACTAATCAGGTGAATGGGAAACTAGCTACACTCACAGAAATCCCA